TTACCCACCAGGACAATTACCCACCAGGACAATTACCCACCTAACCTTCCAATAAGGGAAAAATTCCCCCTTCCGTAAAATTTTGTCCGCTGCAATACATAATAGTAGTGTATGTCTGGAAAAAAGAGAAATGTCTACCCCATATGTTCAGAGAACAGCGGCGTCGATAATTGGGACGGGGGGGGGGTGGAGTCGCCCCTACCCCTCTTATAATGACGGAAATGTTGTATCCCTAAATGATCTTGCTCTTGGCCATGTACGTTATGTTATGTAACTGTTTGTGCGTGTGTGCGTATATGTGGCTGGCTGTGTGCGTGCGTGCGTGTGTGTGTGTACGTGAGTGAATATACTGATTTACAAGAATTTATTACAAGTGTTAATACTTGTGTGAAGTGGGGTGGGGGGCATGTCCCCCGAAAATCGTTTTTATTTTGATGCAAAATGGTGCAATTTGACGCAGGTCATCTATCTGCATTTTTTCCTAGCTTATATTTTAGTAGGATTGATGACATTTATCAGCAATTTGACCACATGGCAAATACATCACTAGTTTACTGCAAAAAATATAAGTACTTAATTGTCAATTTTCACAGCGTGATATATAAAATTGCTTTTAAAAGTCATGTAATCTGCCACTGTGGAAGTACTGTATATTTGCATATGTACATCCCTTCTTCACTTATGAATAGTTATAACAATAATTTAGACAGTGCGGCCAAAAATGAAACAATGGTCATGTCTGATTTTATACAAGATTATTAGTTTTTATGTGATACAGGTAGTGATAATGTACATTATGAAAATTATGTACATATCATAATATATATCATAATAATACATATCATAATATATACATTATGTACATTATGAAAACATATAATTTTTCCATTATATCGCAATATATACATCTAATGATGTATTCAATAAATTCCGAATTTTAACAACCGCTCGAGGGGAGCAGACTGCAATTTCAGGCAATCGATAAATCGAATGCCTATGGTAGGATACGCGAGCGTGAGGATGCACAGATGGACTCAGCATGCGAGCGATTAGGCGCGGGGAGCGACGCTCGCGCGAGTATCGCCAGTACTGTCGCGTAGGCAAAGTGTTACTTAATGTACGGAAAGGTAATTAAGTGGGTGTCGCGTCGCTGCTGTTTCTTGATTTACGCGAGTTTGCATTACGCGAATTTGCAATAGCGCGTATCACCTTAATAACAAAAAATTTACTTGAAGAATAACAAGAACAACACTACAAGAATAACGCGACGCGGCGACTGCCAGGCGCGTGGCGAGCACGTAAAATAAATGTGATTGCGGTTATTCATTGTATTAAGCGACCCAGAAAATGTTTAGACATGTACGTGTGCATTGGTGGCTGCGCTTCGCTCCCGCTGCTGATTCGCAGGTGAAGGCCGATACTTGCCGATATGAACTTCAATATCGGGTATCGGAAAATGTTGCAAATAAGTCAAAATATCGGCAGTATCAGCGAATGTTGAAGTTGAAATTATGAAATCATGAAGTTGGTCCGTTAGATGAATCATCATTACTGTACGGTGCAGGGGCGGATCCAGAGGGGGGGTCGAGCGGGTCCGGAACCCCCCTTTTTACCACAAAAAAAGTAAAAAAAGCATACACACACGCACGCACGCACGCGCGCGCGCACACACACACACACACACACACACACTTCTCTTATATTGTCGCCATAAAAAAATCTTGTTTAGCGCTAGTTTTTCTGATAAAGATTTACTTATATATAATTATGTAAATTCGTTATAAAAACCTAGAAATGGGCAAAGAGGGGTCCGCAGGCGTCCGGGGGACCGGATCTGATAAA